CCGCACTGGTTAACGTTCTTTGATGGAGAACAGGTTTATCCTCTATGGGATTCCCTGACCTCAAGAGTTATGTCTCCCTCTTCCCCCATTTTTTAGGAGGAAGGAAATCTTGTGAGAATTTCTTAAGGTGCTCCATATTCCACATGCCGGCGTGCGCCCCTCCATTGTGTGGAGGAAGAACGTCTGACGAGCGTATATCCTGGATACCCTGTACGACCACTATTATCCCTGCAGGATGATCTTTCCCGCTAGCGTCCGAGGCCCCTGGAGGCTGGAGCAGACGCCCATATGGATTTCCTTCATGACTACGACAACTAAGCTCGACGGGAGACATGTGAGGTATGGCACGCCGAACGTCCCCTTATATAGTTGTCCATCCATAACCTCGAAGCTCAGGGCTCGCCTCTTGATCCGGGTGCCCCTCCCAGCTGGTCGGCCATCTGGGTCCACGAGAATGGTCCCTTCCCTGAGGTAGTCGTCCATTTCGGGTAACCAGTTTGGACCTGCACAAGAAAATGGTGGATACCTGAAGTCTCTGTCGCCGGACGGAGCAGTACTTCCTCAACAATTTCCGCTCTGCAGGGGTATCCCCGGTTTCCACACCCCCGAGGATCACTTAATCTCCAATTTCTTCTTGTGGCCGTTCGGCCCGCGGGATCCCTACGGGCGTTTATCGGCATCTTTGGCCTCTGCCTCCCGTCGGTCGTCCCTGCGCCATGTGAGTAGTTTTTTGTCTGGTTGTTTCTTATTCTGAGGGGTTGGTCCCCTCATGAACTCCCCGAGGTAGCCCATCCGTATAAGTTCGTCAATCGCCATCCACAGGCCATTGCAGTGATCTGTGATGTGCCCTTCCTTGCGATGGTACTCGAAGTAGACATTGAGGTTCTTTCCCATTGGGCCTCTGGCGATTGGCGGCTCTTCGAGCATCCCTTTATGGCCTCAAATATTTGGCGATTGGCGGATTCCTTGATGGCCTCAAATATTTGGCTCACCGTGAATGCCAAGGGGGTAAGTGTCACGCCCCGGACCTAGCCGGACACGTCAACAACCCGCCGTATAGTACGAATAGTCAACCGCAGTTCAACTCATCCATACTATACAAGGCGTCATGAATATCATTCACACGTAGTACATCCATAAACAAACATAATGTAAAACATGCATTTAAAACATCGGAAGCATTAATACAATTGTTCAAGCCACACCTGGCATAACTAGGCATGCAAGCCCCCAAAGTAATTATTCAGAAAATATTATCCATGAGCATTAGTGTAATTGTTTTTAAAACAGAACGGGAGAAGCACGAACCACGTCTTCTTCCCTTGATTCCTCCCGAAGCAATGGGCAATGGCAGCGACCTTCACGTTCTACCTGAAACTGTGAGGTGGCCTTCCTCGTGAAGGGGAGGTCAGTACTTGGAAATATTTGACAAGTACAATAGCAACTATACTAAGTATAATCAACGTTTTAATTTCCAAGACCCTCAACTTAGGGTACTATTATATTATAGGCCATAACCCTCGGTTACCCCTTTTTACCTTTAACTGTACTTACTTTACATAAAGTCAAGTAGACGGCCCGTAGGCCCATATTCATTTAGAATTCACCATTTCCATTCCCCCGTGACCGCGAGTCACGATAACCCCGTGGGGTCCCATCGAGCCCCAATTGTATAGCATGGGCTCGGCCCAACTACATCTCTATACAATCCTCTAACTCGATGTATCATATCAACATTTGTATGGCAAGGGCTCGGCCCAACTACGTTTCCATACCAACCATAACTCCGTGGCAAGGGCTCGGCCCAACTACGTTTCCACGGAGGTCACATATACATGGCAAGGGCTCGGCCCAACTACGTTTCCATGCTAATCGTATTACATGGCATGGGCTCGGCCCAACTACATCTCCATGTCATCCTAGAGTCCAACTCTATTTATTTTCATAATCAAATTCTCAAGTAAGTCCTATGCCTAGAATCAATTTCCGGAGGTGGTCTTTAGGCCTACCCCAAATCACTCCTTAGTGTTCATACTATTCATCCTTAAGTATCTCTTGAGACTACTTAAGGCATATCTATTCACAATCCTACCTCTTAGGATTTATTTCATCATTTATTTATATTAATTCCCCAACTAGTATTTTGATACTAATTGGACAACCTTAGAACATGCCAAGTTCCTATTTCCCATATTTCATTTCATTTCCATTGATTTCTCAATCCAAGTATAGTTTAATCTCAATATCAAAAATATCACTTTAATTCATTCATGAATCTCATACATGAAGTAAAGTATATTTTTTCACAATGTCATCTTAGTAATTCCATTAACATGCCATTCCATTCATTTCACATAATCATACACAATTATTCTAAATTTGTATATCATGCTTCACTTACTCATATACATATTATTTTCATTTAGACATTATTAATCTTTAATAGTCCATGAAAATCCCATCTAATTACTTTAGGCATTCTTATGAAATTAACTCACTAATTATAAGCAATATAGTCAGCCATCCTCACCTTATGAAGTGCTGAAATAGTTGCCTTTGCCAAGCCCCTCGATCAATCCCCGTTCTAGGCCGATTGGAGGTGTAAAACTGACCTGCTAGGCAAAAGCCGGGCGGCTTTCACGAAAGCCGGGCGGCTTTCGTGGTCTGCAACTACGACTAGCTCCTTTGAAGTGGCGGTTTCCGGCGGTTTCGACTCCTATCGATTGGCCAACCCCCCTAAGTTAATTACCACCACTTTATATCAATATTCTACACTTTTAAACGTGTAGAACTCATGATTTAATCCATCATATGATTTCTTAAAAAATCATGCACAATAAAACTAGTTAAAGAGCTATTTGGTGTTCTTACCTCAAGCCTAGCTCTTCTCCTTGGATTCTCTAGCTTCTTCTTCCTCAATGAGGCTTTGGGAATTTGGTTTCCTGGAGGTCCTCACCTCTTGTGTCGGTCATATGAGTGTAGGGGTGGAGATAGGGTGCCTTCTCAATCAACACAATTGATTTGTGTGAGATAGGACCCTTGGCATAAGTTCTTGTCTCAAGGAGACTTCCTCCCTCCCCCTTGTGCGTACCAGCACGTCTTGCTGCTCCCCTCCCCCATTATTTGATCAATCAGCACCCATAAAAACGTGGGGTGGCCCTCACTTATGTGGGAGGTCATCCCATTACGTCCCGGTGTGTACAATCGGCCCCGAAAGTTGTATTTCTCGGCCCGTTTTAATCATATTTTATTTTATCGGACCAAATAAAATATATCACGTGTTCCCAATAATTATGGGTCTTTAGAATAGATGTAAATTCCCCAACATTAATTTTGGAGTCTCCGAAACTCATTTCGGGCTGTTATCCGCTCAATCATCAATACCGGTAATTGGGCCCCGTTTGACCAACCGGTCAACTCCATGCCTTTCTTATGGACCAAATAAAATATCCACCACCATATATATATTATCTAGACCAAGATAAGTATAATATGTGGTTCGGGAATTATCGGGCGGTCCCCGTTCCCGCTGTGGGCCCCACATGCAATTTACTATTCACGTAAAAGAATAATAAAAATTTACAATTACGCAAATTCATAAATCATCTTTCAAGGTTTATTACATAATTTACTAAAAGTAAATATGCTCGGGGTCGGTGTTACAGTAAGTCTGGTAAACTCGCGCCGGGTGTTGTCTGGAGGACATTGGGTTCTCCAAGGGACGTAGCCACCGCTCGTCTTCTTCTTTTTTGTTTCAGGGGGGTCTGATGGCCTTGGCCCCAGACGGTCCGACATTTTGTGGCTTGCATGGACAGACGTCCAACCCCGTTGGGCAATTTCTTCCTCGATTGTCGCATATTTATGTGCCCTGGCTAGCACCTCGGCATAAGTGCTCCCGAGGTTCCTCTTCAAATCGAGATAAAGATCCCCGATTACAAGTGCGTTGGTGAAGAGGGTGATGCTCGTGCACTCCGTGAGGTCCTCGACCTTCAGGGTTTCATCCCTCCACCGTATGAGGAAGGTGGATAAGGTTTCCTCCTTCCCTTGGCGGACGCTCGTCAACCAGCTGAAGTGCCTCTTCGGCGTGGAGCTGGAGACGAACTGCGCCATGAACTGTGTGGACAATTGTTCAAAGCTGTCGATGGATCCGGGTCTGAGCTGCCCGAACCATTCCTGCGCCGGCTCTCTGAGGGTGCTGAAGAAGTGCCGGTAAATGGCTTCATCGGAGGCCCCCAACATGGAGAGTCCTCCCTGGAAAGAAAGTAGGTGGGCTTTCGGGTCCCCAACCCCATTATAAGTCAGGGCGCCAGACAGCCGAATGTCCCTTGGAATCTCTGCCGCCATGTTCCTGGCGGAGAAGGGAGAGGATAATGCAATCCTAGGCCGAGCTGGGTCAGTATCCGCTCGTCGGCTCAGTTCATTGATTTGCATCTAGAGGTCCACAAGCATCGCATCTCTGGGATCGGTGCCTGAGTTTCTCTCAACATTGCCATGTTTAGAAAATACTGACATGCATCGCATCGAAATAGGACTACAACAGTTTGAAAATTTCAAAATAGGACTGCCATGTTTTTATTCCGAAGATAGGACTAATTACTGTCATGTTTTGGCAGTACCAGACTTCAAACATGTCAGTATTTTCTAAACATGGCAGTAATTAGTCCTATTTGGGAATAAAAAACATAACAATCCTATTTTGAAATTTTGAAACAATTTTAGTCCTATTTCGAGAACTTTCCCATTATATATATATATATATATATATGTGTGTGTGTGTGTGTGTGTGTGTGTGTGTGGAAGAGATCAAATAAAATAGGTTCTCCCGTGCAAAGTGCGAACAATTGAACCTTTTCTTCACCGCTTTGCACTTTTGCGTGTTTCTGTTGCACTTTTTCGCGATGACAAAAAACTTCATTTTAATTACGAAATTGCCACCGCGTTTTTGATCGAATTTAGTTCACTTGTGACTCATTTTGAGCCATTAGATCTCAAAATGAACCCACGATCCAACCCGTGTTTCAATCCACCCGTCCTCCATTTTTTCATTTTTTCCTCCATTTTTTCTGTTCTGGGTATCCGCTGGTGCTGGTGGTCATATTGCCAGCCCTAGGAACGAAGGGAATCGTAAGTCTGAAGCTTTGAACTGCTAAAGATCCAAGGAAATACAGAACGAACTACGAAGGGGACGTGCGGTCTGCGGAGTGCCAAGTGCGGAATACCGAAGACGGGAAGAAAAAGCGGCCGACGACCGGCACCAGCCAGCGCCAGGCTCCAGGCCTCCAGCCTGCCACCACCGCACCACGCAGCAACGCCCAGCTTGATCGGGAGTGACCGCCTCCAGCCTCCAGGACCACGACAGCACCAGTCCGGCAGTCCACTGTCCAGCCGCTACCCGCAGTAACAGGTGTCCGGTAAGCAACTAAGCAGGTTTTCAGATTTCTTTGATTCTTTAATTGCAAATTAGTGAAATTAGTTAGTTCTTTGTTGCCTACTTGCCTTGTTGTGATTTGTTCATCTATTGCAGTAATTTATTACTTATTAAGTACTTGGAACTTGAAAAAAAAAGGCCCAATTTTTGTTGCTGCACAGGGTCCCCATTTCTCAGGACCGGCCCTGATTTTCCCTACTTCTTAGCGAAAGATAACATCCAAAACCCCATCAAGCTCGCTGCCCACGCACAGAAAGCTTGAAACCTGAAAACCCAGCTTGAAGACCTCACCTTGTAGAGGACCGCTTGATATCTCTAGTCATGTTGGCGTTCTAATTATGGATGACCATACTTTACCAGCCAAAATCGACAAAAGGGTTCTAAGTGCACACTTTTGCCAACCCTGAACTGCAGGTGCTTCTCTCAGATTGTTTTGCTTGGCCAGTCGATTTAACTTGCCTTTAAGGTCCGGTGGATTATAGGCCTCTGTAGTATTTTAAAAGGTTATCCTTATAAAATGTTCTAATATGATCTTGCTGGTCTTTTGTACTTGACAATAAAATTGCGATGGATTATTGGCCTGTTTCTTCCAATTCAAATAAAAAAACTGTCTACAGAACCTGTTTTAGCATGTACCAGGAGTAACTACAGAAAGATAACAATGTAATTGTCCCAAACTATAATGCATTGTTTTTTCAATTTTTTTAATCAATGTTCATTTTACTATTTGCAAAAATGTTAGTTTTGTTTTTCCATATTGCCCAATTCACGATTCTGAAGTTGATTAAATGAATAATAACCGAACGTGGAAAAAAATGATAAACATGAGTTTTCATGGTGCGTGTATGGGCATATGGATGTAAATCTGTATTGAATGTGTATATCCCTTATAAGGTTTCTTTTTCGTCTACTATGCAGCAATTCATGTGTGCTTATTCACTTTCTGTATTGTGTCTGAAGTTTGTCTTTTGATTTAATTCCTGAAGTTATTTTTGAGTACTTACTTTTGATTCCCAAGTTATTAATTTTATATTCTCAATTGAACTCATCTATCTTTGAAGTATTCAAAATTCTGCAACGACTATTATATAGTCACTTTTTTATCCCTTTCTTGTTTGAAGGTGCATAGGTCGGACATATGAATGGCGTGGAGAGTTTTAGAGAAAAAGGTGCGTTTTTTATTCATAAAAGCTTCATCTGGTCATTCTTGTGGAACTTGAATACTTGAAATCCTTTGTCTTATTCATATTCCTTGATAATTAATGCTCGTAGCAATATCATTTTAGCATCAAAACAAAGTTACAAATATTTTCCTATAAGGAAACGATCTCTTATTCACTAAATTCAAATTCTTAAGTCTCCATAATTTTAGATATTTTTATTGTAGTGTTTTCTACAAGGACCAATTAAAATGTAGACCTATTAGTGTTCTAAAGCATGGTGGCGTGGTATTCTGAAGTGATGTGTGCTATTGAAAATGTACCCAATTTATGTGTCCACACTTTATAGTGTACATTGTACTACGTTGTTCTGAAGAAGAGTGTTAAGTGCTTCCGGTCGTCTATTGCCACTCTCTCTTTCATAAGTCTCCAAATTCAAATTCTCAATTAATACCAGTTGCAAATAGACAATGCTGTGCAATGAATGAGCAATCTGGCAGCAAATGCCTAATGATCAATTGCATAATTTATGATAATCAATAGTGAGAAAACAAATCTTTTTCTTGACCAATGGCTGGTCTGGGAAACACCATAGTTTTAGGTACACTCTAGTTATTTCTCCAAGGACCAATTGAAATGTAGTTCTTTACTCCTTTTAGTTGACATATGGATGGCGTTGAAAATGAAAAAGGTTCGAGGAAGTTACATAATGATATAATTTGTGTAAATCCTAAGCTCTACTAAACTATGATAACACTTGCCTAGTATTACTTTTGCAGGTTATATTTTTTTGCTTCAAGAAAACATTGACAGTGACATCAAAACAGGCAGCAGCCTCAGTGTCCTCCAATCTTAATGAGGCAATAAATTCACTTACTCTTTTGTCTAAGATTACAGAGGGTATGTATATCCATATATCTGATTTGGATTTTTGTGTTGCTCGTTGACCGTCCTAACTTATTAATATATAAGGGAGAACTATCAAATAAGCCCTCGAACTTTCATAAAAAGTGCAAATAAGCCCTTTTACAGGAGGCTTTGTCCGACTGTCGCCATTTGGGGTGGTTTCCGGTGGAACTTTTTGATGAAATTTTTTGAGCATCTTCTTCATTAAGTCTAGTTTAGCCATACCAAATTTCAGCTAAACATTCAATTGAGAAGGCAGTCAAATGATTTTCTGAAATATACTGCGCTGTCTAACTGCGCAGTTATCTTCAAAAATTCATTTGACTGTCTTCCCGGTTGAATTTTTAGCTGAAATTTGGTATGAGTAAACTAGACTTAATGAAAAAGATGCTCAAAAATTTCATTAAAAATTTCAACCGGAAACCACCCAAATGGCGACGGCCAAACAGAGCCTCCTATAAAAGGGCTTATTTGCACTTTTTATGAAAGTTCGAGGGCTTATTTGGTAGTTCTCCCAATATAATAAAACTATAGTTAAATTTTTCTATTACCGATTCGACTTATGTTTTTCGTGATTGCATGGCTAAAAAGCAATTGCAGCACCTTCTCCTGATATTTCTGTGTGCAGTCTGCTTACATTTGTTTTATATTTGAATGTGTTTGCAGGATATTCCCCAAGTCCTGTGTTATTGGCAGAAAATGCCGCCATCTGGTCCAATAAGACATTTATAAGGTACATAAAAAGTATTATTGCATGCATTTTCCTACGCGTAGTGCAAAGATGATGTGGCAAGCATTTCAAATATAAGTTTCTGACAGCCCAAATCCTCTTTGGACTTTTGAGTACTTTTCTTTTGAAGGGAGATGAGAAGGATTAGTAAAAATCATTTTCTAAGAGAAGAGGAAATTGATGTATGGATGGATGTCATTTTCCAAGTATGAATAATTTGGATGTGAGCTTCTTCTATAAAATATCAGGCTGTTAAGCTGTTTGAAGTTATTCTACTCCTTGCAAATAGCGAAGCCATGGGGAAATGTTAAGAAACTCATAACTTTTAGTAACACAAGCAGTCCCATGAGTCTACAACAATAGATGAATCTAAGTTTAAATTGAATGCTGATATTTGTGTGTGTGTAACACTATATCTTTGTCTTTTGAATTGCTTGCTATAAGATGTACTATAACTTGCGAGCTCCGACAAGATTTGGAGGACTGAGGAGAAGACATTGTTTATGTTTAACTGACACGTGTTAATGTAAAGTCAATCACATTAAAGCATGAAAATCAATAGCTTTGCCCTATCTTGTGAAAATGAAGATAACTGAGGGTATTTTTTTAAATAATTTTTAAAGAAAATCCTTTGGAGTATTAACTGTTTGTCATTAGGACTTTTCATGCCACTCCAAAAGCACTTGATAGGAGAATGGATGATGAAGCATTGGGATTGAAGGCTAAAAAGAAAGGAAAGTTCAAGAAAAGGACAAAAAGTACTGCCCCGCCTGTTGAAAAACCTTACATACCTCCTAAACTTAAAACAGCTGGCAGCTCATCTTATGAAAGAACAGTTGACATATTCGAAGGAATGACGACTGTTGAGCTTTCCAAGCAATGTGGAAAACCAATATCTGTTGTTCAGGATATGCTTCTGAATGTGGGGGAGAAAATTGAATCAGAATTTAATCCTCTCAGTATTGACGTTGCTGAGCTGGTTGCAATGGTAATAAGTTCTTCTTAGGTACCAATTATATCTTTACCACCCAAGTTTTGAAACCTGGGTCTGTATGCAAGTGTCATAAGTGGGGCTCAAGATATAGCATGTAGCGTGTAAAGGGATAAGGAACAACTATATCCTTGATCTATATGTAGGAGAACATATATACACTCAACTTTTTTGGGAAACAAATCTGTAAAGTTTTAAGAAATATACACTTGAGCCAAATACTACCTCCGTCCCAAAAAACATTGTCATTTTCAAAACTTTGACCAACTATATATATATTTATCGGAAATTATTTATAATATAAAAATTATATAAAAATGTTCTTTGTTAAAAGTACTTTCATTAAAGTATAAATTTATTACTTCCATAATACGGAGTATTATACTAATCAAAATCATGGTCCAATTTTTTTGAAAGGGCAATGTTTTTTGGGACAAAGGTAGTATCATATAGCATATATACCCCTCAATTATTTGACATGAGGGCATATTTGCTCCAGCATTACAATTTTTGTGTTTAAATATTTTGCCAAAAGGAAATTTTATGATGTCTCTATTCCAACTGAACTTTTCACACCCCACCCCTACCCACTATGTTGTTAATTGTGAGCATCTCTCTATGATATTTGGTCAGTTTCTACCTCCCTTCATTTGGCTGAGCATAAATCGTTTCATTTCCTAGGAAGTAGGAGTGAGGGTCAGAAGGCAGCATTCGGACGAAGGTGCTGAACTTCTACCACGTCCTCCAGTTGTCACAGTGATGGGCCATGTTGACCATGGAAAAACATCACTTTTAGATGCTCTGAGACAAACATCTGTGGCAGCTAAAGAAGCCGGAGGCATAACTCAGCATTTGGGTGCATTTGTTGTCAACATGACCTCAGGTGCATCAATCACATTTCTTGATACTCCTGGCCATGCTGCTTTCAGTGCAATGCGAGCCAGAGGTGCAGCAGTGACAGACATAGTTGTGTTGGTAGTGGCTGCCGATGATGGTGTCATGCCTCAAACTCTTGAAGCAATCTCTCATGCAAAAGCAGCTGATGTGCCGATTGTTGTTGCAATTAATAAATGTGATAAGCCTGCAGCAGACCCAGAGAGGGTAAAAGTCCAGCTTGCATCTGAAGGGCTTCCCTTGGAAGAGATGGGTGGAGATGTTCAGGTTGTTGAAGTTTCTGCAGTAAATAAAACTGGTTTGGATAACTTAGAAGAGGCTTTGCTTCTGCAGGCTGAGTTTATGGATTTAAAAGCGCGTAGTGATGGGCCAGCTCAGGCTTATGTAGTTGAAGCAAGGCTTGACAAGGGACGGGGTCCATTAGTTACTGCCATAGTGAAAACAGGAACGCTGGTTTGTGGCCAGCATGTTGTCGTAGGTGCGGAGTGGGGGAAGATAAGGGCTATCAGGGATGTCGCTGGAAAATGGGCGGATGAGGCCAAACCTGCCATGCCTGTCGAGATAGAAGGGTTGAAAGGGCTACCCATGGCTGGTGATGATATTGTCGTGGTTCATTCTGAGGAAAGGGCAAGGATGCTTAGTGATGGAAGGAAAAAGAAAAACGAAAGAGATAGACTAAATAAGCAGGTAGCAGATAGATCTATGGAGGAGCAAGACGAGGATGATTCAGAAGATCCAGAAGCACAGGAGGGAAACAAACAAAAGCCGAAAAGGGTGGAAATGACATTCATAGTTAAAGGAGATGTTCAAGGCACTGTTCAAGCTGTCACAGATGCACTGAGGAGCTTGGATAGCCCCCAGGTTTTTTTTTTTGTTTTGAAAACTTGGCTTCTCTTGGTTTGTTTTGTTGGTTTATTGAGAAACCTCAACCCTAACTTCTCCCAATATCAGAAGAAAATAAAAGTTTATGTGATATATGCTAATAGGTCAATGTGATGGTTGTCCATGGTGGTGTTGGGTCCATCTCTGAGTCTGATGTAGATTTGGCACAAGCTTGTGACGCATGTATTGTGGGCTTCAATGTTAAAAGCCCACCTACTTCTCTATGTCAGGAAGCAAACAGAGCTGGCATCAAGGTTAAATACTACTTCAGTAACTTTTTTCTTTCCCACTTTGCCCTTTTATAATCATTTCACATTCACCCATACTGTTTTTTTCTCCCGTCTAGAAAGTTACAATTATAAAGTAACAACTATCTCCTTTGTTTTTCTAAAACTCATGCCAAATCCAAACTTATCTTGCATTTGGGAATGAGATAGTAGTAATGATAAAATAACAGTCTTTGTAAAGTTTGTTAATGTTTCTATCTACTGTTAGTTTTTAATTATTATGAAGAAACATCTGTAAGAGGAGTTTTGATATTTGTACTGAAGTTGTTGAGGTTGGTTGTATAGATAATATTGCATCGCGTGATATATCATCTACTGGAGGACATAGGGAAGTTGATTGTTGAAAAAGCTCCGGGGACTTTGGAGACAAAGGTAGCTGGAGAAGCACAGGTGTTGGGTATCTTTGAGACCAAAGGGAGGAGTAAAGCCAAGGGAGATGATGTGAAGATTGCTGGGTGTAGGGTGACAGATGGCCGGATAACGAAGTCATCATCAATGAGGCTCCTGAGGAGTGGTGAAGTTGTTTTTGAAGGGTGTTGTGCATCATTGAAGCGGGAAAAGCAGGATGTGGAGACCGTTGGGAAAGGTTCTGAATGTGGACTAGTCATCCGCAATTGCTTCGACTTCCAGGTAGGTGACATCATCCAGTGCTTAGAGGAAGTGAACAGAAAACCGAAGTTCGTTTCATCTGAAAGTGGAGCCGTCAGAATAGAGTGCTAAATTGCCAGTATATTGTTTTCATTACTCAATGCAATACATTCTCTGGAGCTTTTGCAATTTTGACTAGTAGATGACTTCCCCTGACAACTTAATTTAATCAAATCATTTTAAAGGTACAGGTTGAAGCATTTGCTATCACAATATAGAAACACTATAAAACATGTTCATATTCATTACTTTCCTAATTTGTAAAACAAGATTATTTGAAATGAAATCATACCATTTTGTCAAGTATTTATGTATGTTACTTTTAACTTTTTAAGTGATACATCTCCATTCTAAAATGTTCCCGTTTTTTAAGAAGTGAACCACTGGGCCAGTATCGGTGAAAAAGAATGTATAGTTGTGATTTGGATTGAAATGTTATCAACCACTTCTCTTTTCCAAGTTTAGAACTAGTTTATATTCTTCTTTTTACTCTGCCCGCTTTTTAAGAAATGATGATTAAATATTTAAATATTGTTGAAAATGAAAGTGTGGCAGGAAACTTCATAAATTACTGACAAACACAACAATGTTCAAATTTAACGGTCTCTTATCAAGCACAACTCGAATAGTAACACAAAAGATGAAGCATTTTTGTCTTAGAATAACATTTTTTCAAAGCACACTTGAACTTTTCAAAGAATGTCCAAAGGATTAGAGCAAGTTCACATGCAAGTAGCCATCATCCACAAATTATTGCTTTTCATAAATTACCACATATATAGTATACTATGAGAGCGTATGTAGACTGATGAAAGCAGGGAATGGTGCATTACTATGAAGAAATGAAGTTGATTCAGAATTTGCTTAAAATATAGATTAGGTAGGGGGTTATAACTATAATAGCAATATCAGTTTTTGAACTTGTGTAAAAATAGGTGGACTTCTCAATATTGATATGAATTTTCTCTGGGAGTGAAGAAAATTACACTTTACAAGTTTGTTGGAAAGAGATAATAAGGTATACTGATACTTGAGATGTATTTTCCAGTATTTCTCCAAATGATCCGATATCTTCGTCATTGGTAAATATCTTCCGAATTTTCTCTGAATTTATATAGAAACTTCATTGCAAAAAAAAATCCGGAGACCTCAAATTACGGAAGTTTCTATAAAATTTTCATTGAGATAATTTCATCAATGATAATAGTGTACCCATGGCCAACACTTGAACCCCTCCGTAGGCGGTAGCACTAGGCACTCTGTGACCTGGATGATCCAATGTGAAAATTGCGTCGAAAGTTGCATTAACAAAGAACCGCAAACAGTTTAGTAAGTCATTTTGCTTTATTCCATCATATTCTTAAGTCAAAAAATAGTGAATCTTTGGCTCTATTGCAAATGACGGAAATGCAACAAATTTTTTTTAATGAAAAAAATAGAAACATAAAACTACTTTATCGGTCAATACATTTGAGTAAACATAAAGGATGAGGTAGAATCGTTAAGAAAATGATCAGACAATCTTCTATTCCATTAGAAGGCACAATGTGTGACCATATTTTAACACTACGAAGTATATAGTGATATGTACCATATTGGTTTTGTAAGTATACTATTAACTCACTTCACTCTATTTATTTTGGGATTACTTCACTCTAATGAATGCTCATGAGAAACCTTTCTTTGACTTTATCTATAAAGTTCTCATCACTCAATCTTTGAAGATCATCTTAAAGATTCTGTTTTCACACTAAAAGATCTATTTTTTTTTTCACAACTGACTCATGAGAAACCTTTCTTAGTTTCACTAGGCTCTTACTCACGCTCTTTTAAAATTGAAGACTTCTCAAACTTAATAGAAATTATAAATAAAGAACTTTTTGAAATTAAAGATTTCTCGAGGTTATTAGAAATTAGATATAGAGACTCGTCCTAATTTATATTAATCTATCACAAGGGCTAGATATCACATTCTCTGAAATTATCGATCCAATTCTCTTAACTTTTAAAAAAGCTCCATATGCTGAGATGACATTCAGAAAGAATTAGATGGCCTCACACTTTTCGGGATGTTATAAGGGATCCCACATTCTAGAGAACACAGATGTAAAAAGTGGGCAAATTCGAACCAATAGGTTCAATTTTATTTACTTTTACATTATCCAAAAAGGAATGAGTAGGTAAATTTAGTTCAACATGTGATATATATTAACCTCGAGGTTGCATTGAGATGATGGATAGATTAATTGCTTAACTTGATATGCATTTGCCAATACGATGATAGACCAATATTTGAGACAAACAACAGTAAAGCACCATCATCTTTTCCACTGGCCCATTTAGAACACTCTTTTACTTTTGAAAAGCAACAACTCACCAAGTCACCAAACACCACCAATTCTCTCACCCTGCCTCTATAGTTTATTTTCTCTAAATGCCTCACTGACCAAGATTTCAAAGATTTTTTAGGTGATGTGCTCAAATAACAGCCACACCACCGACTTGTCAAAATCAGTCCACCACACATTGGGCCCATTCATTGCACTGCTTTTTCTAAATGTCTTTGAAATAAATTTCCTCACACAATGAGCTGGTAACTTTACAGATAAATCGTTCAACAAATTATTAAATTGGGGGAAAACATCGAAATTTATCTGTGATGGTTTTTTGGATGGATTTTAATTTATTTTGGTGGATTTCAATGTACAAAACATTTCATTACAAATCTTGTAGGCACCCCTTGAATTTCAAAATTTGTAATCTTTTAAAATTTATCAAATCAAAATCACAGTTAGGGACACCTCCTTAAGTTACTTCGTATTAAAGTTTCTTTGAAATTCTTCGTCCATATTTAAGTGAACCAATCTTTTAGCCTTTTTACATTTGTACAAGCTCGAATTGATTTTCAATTTTTTGTTCAACCTATTCTTTCATATTAACTACTCTAAAATTTGGATTTTTTTGCAGGTGCCCTTATAAGTAGTTGGCTAACCACTTCCGAGTAGCATTTGTAACTAAAAAGTGTCTTAAACACTTGTGCTCAATATTGCAAATTTGCACACTTTAATATTAGTCCACAATTCTTTTCATCCTCATAAATCCACACTCTAAATGGACACCCTACCTTGTTTAGACATTTTCTTATGTTTTTGTTTCTTCTTTACCTACATATCACATTTGACCATTTGCAGTTTTGTCTTGTTTTTATTTCTTTTGTGTTAATTAAAATTGACGGTTTGATAAGCACTACAAAAAAAATCGCTTGTAGTCACCGACCCTAGTCACGAATTTGGTCCGTGACTAGTTAGTCACGGTTCTAGTCACGGTTTGGTCACGGATTGTTGCAATACTCATTTTTTTTAAATTTGAAATTAGTCACGGACGAATCTGTGACTAATTCCGTGACAAGATCCAAAATTAATTTTTTCAACACTCCAAAGTTAAAGTGCATCGATAAATCGTACAAAATTACGTAGTCACGGACACATCTGTGACTACGTTCGTGACTACATGTTTTATATATGCAGCCTCCGCTTCATTCAACAAAATCACACGATCTGTTCCAGATAGAATTCCAGACAGAATTGAAGGATGTAATCTACCCATCTTATATCATTTTCCCTTTAATCTACCCATCCTCATAAATCCACACTCTAAATGGACACCCTACCTTGTTTAGACATTTTCTTATGTTTTTGTTTCTTCTTAGTTTTGTCTTGTTTTTATTTCTTTTGTGTTAATTAAAATTGACTGTTTTACAAGAGTATCATGCAATTTGTGAACTAGGCAAAACAAAAAAGATATTCCTTTTGTGCCATTGTAATTGTTCCATCTTTTATTTTTGATCCGTTCAATTAAGACTATCTCATATCAAATTTGATAAAACTTGTATAATTATAAATCATTCTTACTTTAAATTTATTTTATCAATTACATAAATTCATTTTTTAATAATCAAACAAATTCACAAATTCTTCTCTATCTCAATCTTAGTGAAACAGAAATAATATTAGAATTTAGAAAAATACACACTTTTACATTTGAATTCTCTAAAAATAAATTGGGAAATAATTTAATAGTATTAAATTATGGGGTAAATTATGTAGCTTATCTATGGAGCAAACCATGCAAAATTTCATCTTTGAAATGAGCACTCTGGAGTTTGGACTTGTGTTGGCCTACACTGCAATACCGGGCCGGATTTGTTCTATAAATCGTCCGAGGCTATAATCTCCCTCTCAACCTAAATTGGGCGTAGGCCAAATGGGAAAGAAGCGAGCTCCACGAGCAGTTGATGAAGCAGCGGCTCAAACTGCAGGCAATATCAGTAAGGACGATCTCGAGCTCAACATCGCTAATGCAGACCTTACGGAGAAAAAGAGAGTGAAAAAGAAGAAAGAAGAGAAACGCGAAAGAGAAGCGAAAGAAAGAAATTCAGAGAAAGTCGGACCTGAGATGAAAGCAGAAGGGGCGAATGGTGATACGAACGCCAAGAAGAAGAAAAATAAGAAATTTGAGGGAAGTAACATTAACGCTTCTAATGAATTGCCTACGGTCTCCATTGCCCTTCCCGGGTCCATCATCGACAATGCGCAATCCCTGGAACTTGCCACCCGCGTAAGTAGTATCCCGACTTAGTTATGGCTCCATATATGCATAGTCACTTTAGAGATGCCAAAAGAAGTTGTTTTCTGTTTCGGTCATGGCTGAAAATAAAAAGTGTCTAAAAATCTGTAAAATTTCAACTTCACTATTTTTGTTACTTATTTTTTTGGTTTTGGACTCATTGTAATTCAGATCTTGATGCTGCTACTTATCAATATGTTATTTACTTTTCTTTTGATTCATTTTTGGGATTAATCTACTACAGTTGGCTGGCCAAATTGCACGTGCTGCAACTATTTTCCAGATAGATGAGGTGAATTCCCATGCCCTGCCTTACTCATTTTTCTGCATATTCTACTGCTCGCAGTGATTATTGTCAAATTATTGTTACCTTGCAATACTTGAGGCGGTTCTGTGATTTGGTATGGCACGGAATTTGCTATAAACCAGCACTACAATGAGTTAGAGTTGTATTTATACAGGTGGTTGTATTTGACAATGTTAGCAGTTCTCAAGATAGTCCAGCCATCCTTTTGGAGGATAATTTGGATGCAAATGAAAGCAGTGCTGCGTTTCTTTTGATGATTCTTAGGTACATGGAGACACCCCAGTATCTAAGAAAGAGCCTATATCCGATGCATAACAATTTAAGATATGTGGTATTGATTCTCTTATCTAATTACTATATGGATGCAACATGTGGGTCTCTTCATAATGTAGTGACACACATTCCTTGCAACATAACCTGATTCAGTTCTTTATTTGTTTAAATTAATGTCAGGGATCATTACCCCCACTTGATGCCCCACATCATTTACGGAAGCACGAATGGGCACCTTATCGAGAAGGTAGAATTTAAAAACCAATCCTAATTGAAGAGTTGGTCTCCCTAGTTGTAGTTTGAGTAATCTCAATTTTAAACTTTTGTATGATATATTATTTTTTATGCATTTTTTATTTCTCCTGTTTATGTGAATTTTAAAATATTTAGAATTGAGTTCATCTCTGTATTCTAAGTCCATTGGATACAAGGTGCAGTAAAAAGCCAACGAACTTGGCCTTCTAAACATCTGGCAAAGGACTAGTACTGTACTAGTGTGCTCTTTATTATTGGGGATGCTTTGGTGTAAGGTTGGATATGTGTGGTGCAAAGGTTTATGCATATGATGGATTACACTTGATCTCTGAACTTCAGGTAAGTTTTCTGTTGACAAGTTAAATGACTGATGCTAAAACTTTGCACCCATTTCTCTGCAAACAAAGCAATTTCATCCATTATGGTTTTGGGCATCATTGTCCTTCAGTTATTTCTCATTTTGGTTTGAACTTACTTTGTAAGTGTCTTTGCATATATACTCTCTGAGTTATCTCATGTCAAGATGCCTCATCATCACCACATTAAGACAAACTGTGTTGGGTCAGTGAAACACACTTAGTGTCAATTGACTGTGTGTAATTAAATAACATTATTGATTTAAGCAAGAGCAAAAACACTTGAAATCCTTTTATTGTAGTTTAGATAATTGTGGTGCAAAGATTTGTGCATATGATGGATCACACTTGATCTCTGAACTTCAGGTAAGTTTTCTGTTGACAAGGTTAAATGACTGATGTGAGAACTTTGCACCCATCTTTGTTTCTAATATAGGCTTTGGTTCATTGAAGCTCTGATTCCTTTTCCCTATCTATAAGCAAAGCGGCTTCATACTTCCATCCATTGTAGTTTTTAGGCATCGCTTTCCTTTGGATTTAGTTATTGTTGATGTTTTTCAACTTACTTTGAATATGGCTTTATGATATAACACCTCTGGGGTTATCTCTTTCCAAGATGCCTCATTTTTGTTGTCATCTTTACAGTTTTAATCCAAACTAGGCTTGGTTAGTCACATGCATGTAGTGTCTATTGTTAATTAGTAACACTATAGATGTATAGTTTTATCCAAAAAATTGTAGTGGCAAAGTTTTAGTCCGGATGCCTTCCCTGTCTCAACTTGCTTGCAGAGTCATTATCATCGTCATTACCCCAGTGCCCCAAAGGTTCCTACCTATGGTGAGGTAAGGGGGTCGGATGTACGCAGTCTTACCCCTGTACTAAAGCACAGAGAGACTGTTTCCGAATGACCCATAGTGAAAATTGCGTTGAAAATTGCGTAGACTGACTGTTACTTCATAACAAAGAAGCGCATACAGTTTAGTGAGCCATTTTGCTTTATTCCATCATATTCCCAAGCCAAAAAATAGTGAGTCTTTGGCTCCATTGAAAATGATGGAAAAACTTTCTTGCAGAGTAATGACATGAAATTTTCCTAAACCACCATGATTGTATGCTGTGCCAATTGCATGAAAATAAAAATACACATTGCAAATATAAGACATTGATGGTTATCTAAACCAGTTCCACCCAATTACAACTCTCTACCTTTATCACTTCTTCTTCTATGACTTTTGCATTTATTGAGGTCATATTCTTTGTTGACATTAACAGAATATAGTAAGAACAAGCTGCCTATCTGTTGCCAGGTGTCACACTAAGAGACCAGCATCCAAAATCAGGAGGAACAGTGGTTGACGTGGGGTTAAGTAAGGTATTTTGGATTCTTCTGATTAGTATTAATTACCAGTCATTTGATGTTTTTCATTCTTTTCTTCTGGTAAGTTTTTTCGTGTTCTGAACTACAGTAGAACTCTGTTTCATATAATGTTCCTGGTATTCAAGTATTCAACTGTTCAGTTTTATTTTTCAATAATTACATATTTATGACTAAAATAAAGGTTGTTTATAAAAATGTGACCTTTTAAGTGTAGTAACTATAGTAGTAACTCTAGTCAGAGTACCTTATGTTCAATTTTTACTCTCAAGTGACCGTGACACTACTCATAGTAACTTCGAGTCATATTTTTGTAAATAAGTTTTATTTCGGTAGTATTTTAAAAAAATACCTCTCTTATTTTCCCCGTGAATTTTTGAATTGTCTTGCACAATAACTAAATATCATATTTTCACATCATAAACAAGATACTGTTCAATGGCAGAACTTGGGGAAACCTTGGGTAGTTTATTATCTTCCATTCTTCCTGCCTAAACTAAAGTTCTTCTAAATGCTGGGTCTTGACTTGCACTTATTGGTAGATGGTTCTCTAGCAAAACTAAAGGTGTGACTTGAAGGTTTATCACACCACACACCATACTGTCATGTGTTGGATGGTGATGGATACTCTAACTAACTGTTTATTTAGATAATTAGATGGTATATCAGGTATTACATCATAAATAGGTCTAAAGCGGTGTTCTTTTTAGTCTTCGGATGGTTATTTTTCTTCTGTGTTGTGTCACTTTTATTAGTGAATTAGAGAAAGACAATGGGCCAGAGTGGTAAGTGCTGTTGGGTATATCTCTGTTTTTTCTACTCTCTCTCTGTAACATTGTTTATTTAATTGTATACTAATTGATGAATGAACATAATATGCAGCACGTACTGATTGATCAAGTCATTGATCCAGGTAAAAGGGTCACAGTATCTATGGGAACTGATCGTCATTTAGATTCAGGTATTAGAATTGAACTGAAAAATAAGATTTTAAATGAAGTATTTCATCTGTTTCATAATCGGCATTTAAAATACAACTGGAAATCAATAATTATGTACTATTAGGATACCCAAAGTCTGGCTCAATTGCATTCTTATTTTAACAATGAAAATGAGCATGTAATGACATTTAGTTTCATTTTCATAGCCTCCTTTCAATCCCTATACTTCCTAAGAAACGACTGGGGCAAAACTGATGCAATATGATGAATAAAGTTTAGGTATTTTAAAACCGATTTTATGCAATATGCTAAGATGAAGTTTTATCATATAAAGTATACTGTATATCATTAAAACAGAACAAGGGACAGATATCCAAAACATGGAGACTATGTTCCCATGTGGCATGCATTGATTGTTACTTTGATTAACATTACTCCAGACAGTGTGAATTAACCCACAAAGGCATGCCACATAGGCGACTGAATATCCTTGGTTCATAGTTGGAGACAAGTTGCCATATAATTGTTCATAGAGTGAGAAGCATAATAATGATTAGCAATGTATTATTGTCCACAGCATTTAAAGTTGAAACACAATATATTTGAGGCAGTAGAAAACCATTTCAATTACATATTTTGATTTTTCAGACATACCGCACCAAATTGTATCTACATCCAAACCAAGGGAAGAGGCAGGGATGTATTGGGGCTACAAAGTGCGATATGCTTCCAATATTAGTTCTGTATTCAAGAATTGTCCATATAAGGTATTGTACTCATTTTATATATGAAATACTTAACCTCAAGTGAATTGCAATATCATTCATAATATTAAGTTGTTAGCTTATTAAACATTATTAAACAGGGAGGCTATGATCATCTGATTGGTACCTCAGAACATGGTATTGCTATTAAGTCATCTGAACTTTGTTTGTCGTCATTCAAGTAAGCTTATTCTCTATCTTAGGAATTACTCCCTCGGTCCCCTTTTAAATGTCTCATTTTACCATATTGGGATGTCCCTATTTAATTGTCTCATACCTTATTTGGTAAAGTTTGTGTGGCTCAAAATCATTCTTACTTTATTCTTACTTTATTCTTACTTTATCTATTAATATCAACCACACAAACCTACTTTTCTTAAAACTCGTGTCACCCTCTTCCGGGACATTTAAAAGGGGACGGAGGGAGTAGTTTGAATTCAGGCTGACATGTTATAACTAGGTCTGAGCGAATTGCGGTCCAGACTTGGAATATTAGACAAGAGCAGACCAAGTCCAATCACATATCACTCTGGCCTTCGGTCAAGGTTTTAAGGATTCCGTTTCCGGTCTGGCCCAAATCCAGAAAAAAATCAGTCCAGACTGGTTGAACCGGAATTTAAAATATTATTATTTGTCTAGAGTCTTGGACACTTTTTTATCTAACATATATTACGTATTCAATTATCTAGTGATTCACATAGTTCAAACATTAACTCCTTTAAACTTTATATTACACATTTAGATGCACAATTTTAATTGAATCAAAAGAAAGAATAAGAGCTAGCAAATCTAATACCAGTTTGGTCTGGTTAAACCCGGAATAATTTGTTCCTGTCTAATACCAGTTTGGTCTGGTTAAACCCAGAATAATGTGTTCCTATATTAGATTATTAATTATGCCAGTCCAGTCTTTAGCCTAATGGTTTTGGAGACATCACTTCCGATCTAGTCTTGGATCAGTGCTCATCCCTAGTTATAAATATGCCAGCATTGGCTGTTGCAGATGGCCTTCATTCACTTTCTTTCCCTCATGTTTCAGTTTTCATGTACTTGTCTACTTCAAAATGCGTGCTTGATGGTACTTTAGTTTTTGTACATTTAATCTGGTATAGCTGATCTTGTTTTATTGGTGTATTTCAAATTAGACACCTATTAATTGCTTTTGGTGGGCTTGCGGGTCTGGAGGAGTGCATTGAAGAAGACAGTAGCTTGAAGGTATCATCAATAAATATGAACTTCAGATTGTTACATCTCTATTTTCTCCTCAGTCAATTTGAATGTTCATTCATTGTGGTGTGGGAAAAAAGTTGCAGTATCTTCAGTTCTTTACCTTCTACCTACCCCTGGCCAAAAAAGGATAGTTCTTGTACCTTGAGATTTTCTATTCATACAAAGGCTCCGATGTTGTTTTGTTGTACACCAAAAAGAGGTTTTTTAAAAATGAAATACTAGAGATTCCTACTAATTAATCATTGTAAGGAACCTCAATGTGGGTACGCTTGGACGTGCCACTGTGAAATTGAAATCATAGGGTCCAATGTGAGATAATTAGGAAACACATGATTTTATTTCCACATTTGGTAGTGTGCACATAAGGGCTCATTATAACGTACTAAATATATTCATGTTGAGTATATTGCTACTTTTAGGGTAAAAAAGCTCTAGACATATTTGATCTCTATCTGAACACATGTCCGCATCAAGGAAGTAGAACAATCCGAACTGAGGTAAATTTATATTTTAAGTATTATATTTTTCAGTTTTTGGGTGTCAAGTCTTTTCTGTATATACCCCCCCCCCCACGTGAACTTGTTGCTCGCAAATCGGTGTTCTGATCTTTTGCCAACAACACCAGGAAGCTATCTTCATTTCTCTGCAGTATTTCCAAGAACCAATCAATCGGGTTTTGGACAAGAGTTAGCCCCCGCAAATCTCCAGTACATAAAATTGCAGGATATGTAGCAAAATTAGACATTTTGCAAATCCCAGAGAGTTGAAGTATTATTGGAAGAGGCTTTGGGATCTCTAATGGAAATGTTTGAACTGCAAAGAAATACCTTTTGAGAGGGGTCTTCGGATTGCTTGCTGGACAAAACCATTTCTGTACCATTTTGCCTTCGCATGCAGAAGTGTAGAACAATTGTATCTATGAACATTATTTTTTGATATCCTGGTTAAATGAATTTGGGCCACACATTTCTTAATGGTCCATTTGGAATTTGGGAAATGTTAGGAATGCAAACCATGGAGATTTTGTAGAAGGAAAACAAAATATTGGTTCAAATTCAAAAATTTCATTTTTAGAATTGGTTCGAATTCATTTTGTTCTTTAATTCTACCGTATAAATTAATACTACCTCCGTCTAATATTGGTTGTTCTTTTGATTATAATAAAGTGGTTAAAATGTAAAAGTTGTTGTTGACATTTGACTAGAATAATGTAAAATGATAAGGATTGAATATTTCTTGCCAAAAAGGAAAACATGAAATTTATTTCAAGACAATCCAAAAAGGAAAGTAAGACAATTAAAATGGGAGAGAGAGGGTGTACTGAACAAGTTATATACTACTACGTACTACCTTTGTGACTTTGACCCACTAACATTAGAACGGAAGGATGTGACACGGTTATTAAGAAAAGTTGTTTTATGTGATTGATATTGAATTGATAAAGTGAAAATAAAGCAAAAATGATTTAGAGTCACACAAACTTTACCAAATTTGGTATGAGACAATTTTAATGGGATTTCCTGAAAAGATAAAATGAGATAATATTAGCGGGACAAATGGAGTATCTAACAAGCATAGGAAAATAACTTGTCATTTTCTTTTAGGGGTTTTGACCTCAATATTACTAAAAAGTAGACAATTGACAAAAAAAAGTGACATTTTGTTTTAATTTCTGAAAATGTGACTAATAAGCTTTAAACTTACTAAATTACCCCTAATTTGCAGTTACTTTATTTTATAGTTACAGTACCCGCCACAGTGACATACGCCAGTGACCAACAAGCATCACTGCTGCCTGATTATTGCCGCCACAGGTCACAGTGACACCTCTACAGTGCCACATTCACAGTGACATCTCCACAGTTACTCCACCATAGTGACTTCACCCCCACAACCCACAGTTACTCTGGTCGCAGTTACTCTGATGACAACCGGTCACCGTCGCCTGCCAACGACTTCATCCCTAGTTCCCAACCCTAGCCCCCAACCTCCAGGCCATCACCACCGTCAAAACCACCGTTGTTGTCGGTCACCACCATCCCACCACTGCATCACTCTCCCAATCACCATCTCGCACCCCCATAACCCCGTTGCTCGCACCCAACGCCCCCCACCACCCCAAACCCGTCCCTAGCCGCCGTAGGCAAACAGTTCCCCCACTACCCCAGATCTAACCTTAGCCACCTCTGCCCACCATTTCCGCATCCTAAAGCTAATCTTAGCCTCAGTCCGTCTGGTAATCTAACCGCCGCGCCGCCCATCGCTAAACCTAGCCGCTGCCATCACCTTCACAACGAGATCTGTTTGCTTCACCATTGCCGAAGAAGAAAAGAGAAGAACAGATCGCGACAGAGATGATAACAGACCTGCCTGGGAGTTGTGCGGATGCGACAAGAGTGACGGCGGACCGGTGGAGGCGGCGGACAGTGGCTATCTTCGCGGAGCGGCAATAGTCGACAAGAGGCGGAAAGGTGCGTAAATCTAATTGAAGGAGGCGGAAGAGTGCATATGCTATTATTGAGGGCATTTAAGTCTTTTTTAACATTTGTAATAAGTTTTTTGTCTACACGAAAGTTTGGTCATATTTTTGTCCATCTAAACTCCCTAACTAATATTTTGACATTCTTTCTTTCTTTTATTTATGTATCCTTTCTGGGATGCAAATCAACCAAGGGTATATTTAATTTATTTGTATGAAGTCCTATGTACTAAAACGGCTGTATAGAGACTAGGGTAAGTGATACACGGAGTATTAGTATATAAGGTTGTTTATTTTGTATGTTGAATAAATAAATTGAATTGAGTAAAATACTCTTGATATACTCTGTAATATACACCGATGGATTATTGGGATCCAAACATATAATTAAATGTAGAGATTGAGCTATGAAAATGTGGAGAAGAAGATAATGAATAATGAATTGAGAGCTTTTTGAGTTACAAGCTCCAAAAGGAGTATAAATAGAGAAATAATGGGTCGGACCGCTAATATGGGCCCGATAGGCCCAACCACATAAAAGACTAATCTAGTACATACAGATGATATATGAACAGTACAATAAAACAAAAGACATCCGATAAGCGTGTGTGGGCCACTGTCCAGGCCTAATAGTCGTGAGACCCGGGGGTCCGAGTCTATATACTCCATCAGGAGTCCTCCACTCCCTGAGTCGAAGGTACTCGAGGCGAAAGGGAGTAGAATTGTGTGCTGATCTATCGTCTAATGAGTAAACTTCGTGAAAAATTTTGAATTTCCTGTTCTTTGGTTAACGGAGGCGCTAAGTCCCCCACTCTTCCAGTCCCCCACTCCTTGAGGTGAATGTAGTGAGGTGAAGAGGAGTAGCGTAGTGTAGTGCGTGTCTCGCGATGTCTTCAATGGGGGGCCGAGGGTCGACACCTTTTGATCCACAATGGGGAGATGCCTCGTTAAAAACCTCATTAGGAAAAAACCCAGTGGAAAAAATCCTAATGAGGGAAAAAGAGTACACCGGATGCCCCCAAAATGAAGCAAAAGGGGTGAGCCCTTCGGCCTAAGTGTGGAGCTGCAACGGTGTCCGTCTGCTGAGGGGGTGGCCGAGACCAGTCTCTAGATGTGAGTAGCTCGGCATGATAAGTAGTCCTAGTCATCAAATAAAGATGACTAAGGGATGGGTCGAGCGACCGTCCATAATATGATGTCTGGTCCATCAAATAAAGATGACCAGAATATAAGGCCGATGGGCCGATATGAGCTCCACGTCATCAAATAAAGACGACTGGGAGGCTAACGACCGAGAGGCCTGTATGAGAGTTCAACGTCTTCGAATAAGGACGATGGGGCACTGTGTGGCCGAGGGGCTTGCATAAGAGCTCCACGTCATCAAATAAAGACGACTATGAGGGTAATGGCCGAGAGGCCTGTATGAGAGCTCCACGTCATCAAATAAAGATGAAGGGGCGATGTATGGCCGAGAGGCCTGTATGAGAGTTCCATGTCATCAAATAAAGATGACGGGGTGATGTATGGCTGATGGGCCTGTAGGTGAGCTCTTCGTCATTAAATAAAGATGTCTGAGCGATATATGGCTGATGAGCATGTGGATGGGCTCTTCGTCATCAAATAAAGATGACAGAGCGATATATGGCTGATGGGCCTGTATATGAGCTCTTCGTCATCAAATAAAGATGACAGAGCGATATATGGCCGATGGGCCTGTAGATGAGTTCTTCGTCATCAAATAAAGATGACCGAGCAATATATGGCCGATGGGCCTGTAGATGAGCTCTTCGTCATCAAATAAAGATGACCGAGCAATATATGGCCGATTGGCCTGTAGATGAGCTCTTCGTCATCAAATAAAGATGACAGAGCGATATATGGCCGAACTCTGGGCTCCTTTAGCCTTTCAGCCGGAGACCGCAAGATGTTCGCTATATCTGAATAGGGGGACGAGGCGATGATAAGCCGTGTGTCATATGAAGGCGACAGTCACCATCCAGGAAGGGAATGGAGAGCCTGGTCGCTAGATAAGGACTTCGGCACTGGGGCCGATCTAAATGTGAGGACGAGGCGATGATAAGCCGTGCGTCATATGAGGGCGACAGTCGCCGTCCGGGAAGGGATGGCGAGCCCAATCGCTATAACAAGACTTCGGCGCTGGGAGCCGGTCTTGAGATAAATAATCACGTCGAGGCCGAGAGGCTGATCGCGATGTGCGGATGGCAATGATGAGGAGCCAGTCCGAAATATGATGACGAGGCGATGATGAAGCCGATCGTCATATAGAGGTGATAGTCACCATCCAGGAGGGGATGGCGAGCCTGATCGCTAGCCCAACACACTCGGTGCTGATGAAGCCGATGTTGGGATAGGGCATCACGTCGTGGCTGAGGGGCCGGTCGTGGTGCGAGGTCGTCAGCACTATGAGGCTGATCCAAAAGTCCAAGCAACGGTCGCCATCCGATGAAGGAATGACTGAGACCGGTCTTGGGGATAGATAATCACGCCAAGGCCGAGGGGCCGGTCATGATGTGCGGACGGCGATGATGAGCCGATCCGATAATATGATGACGAGGAGAGAATGAAGCTGATCGTCATATAAGGGCGATGGTCACCATCCAGGAAGGGATGGCGAGCCCGATCGCTAGCTCAAGACTCGGTGCTGAGGAAGCCGGTCTTGAGATAAATAATCACGCGAAAACCGAGGGGGCAGGTCGTGATGCGCGGATGGCGATGACAGGAGCCAATCCGAAATATGATGACGGGGCAACGATGAGCCGGCCGTCATATAGAGGCGATGGTCACCATCCAGGAAGGGATTGCGAGCCCAATCGCTAGCTCAAGATCGCGTTGAGACCGAGGGGTCTGCCGCGATGTGAGGATGACGGTGATGATGAGCCGTTCCAATAAATGATGACGAGGCCAGGATGGGCCAATCGTCATATAAAGGCGACAATCACCATCCAAGAAGGGATGGTGAGCCCGATCGCTAGCTCAAGACTCTCGGCGCTGAGGAAGCCGGTCTTGAGATAGATAATCACGCCGAGGCCAATGGGCCGGTCGTGATGTGCGGATGGCGATGAGAAAGAGCCAATCCGAAATATGATGACGGGGAGATGATGAGCCGACCGTCATATAGAGGCGATGGTCACCATCCAGGAAGGGATGGCGAGCTCGATCGCTACCTCAAGACTCTCGGCGCTGAGGAAGCCGGTCTTGAGATAGATAATCACGCTGAGGTCGAGGGGCCGGGCGTGATGTGAGGATGACGGTGATGAGGGTTCGGTCCAAAAATCCATGCAATGATCATTATCCGGTAAAGGAATGACTAAGACTGGTCTCGAGATAAATAATCACGTCGAGGCCGAGGGGGCCGATCGTGATATGAGGACGAAGGCACTGAGGGGCCGGTCCGAAGATCCATGCAACGGTCGCCATCCGGTAAAGGAAATGATTAAGACCGGTCTCGAGATAAATAATCACATCGAGGCCGATAGGTCGGTCGTGATGTTCGGATGTTCGGATGGCGATGAGAAGGAGCCAATCCGAAATATGATGACGGGGCGATGATGAGCCGATCGTCATATAGAGGCGATGTTCACCATCCGGGAAGGGATGGCAAGCCCGATCGCTGGCTCAAGACTCTCGGCGCTGAGGAAG